GATAGACTGGGTTATACTGGGTTATACTGAGTTATACTGGGTGTACTGGGTTATACTGGGTTATACTGGGTTATACTGGTTATACTGGGTTATACTGGGAGGGACTGGTTTATACTGGTTCATACTGGGATATACTGGGAGGTGCTGGGTTGTGCTTGGGGGGACTGGTTTGTACTGGGTTATACTGGGATAGACTGGGCCATGCTGGTTTATACTGGGTTGTACTGGTTTATATTAGGTTATACTGGGAGGGAGTGGGTGGGATTGGGTTATACTGGTTTATACTGGTTTATACTGGGATATATTGGGATACACTGGTTTATTCTGGGATGTACTGGGTTATACTGGTTTGTATTGGGTTATACTGGGTTATACTGGGAGGGACTGGGTTATACTGGTTTATACTGGTGTGTACTGGGAGGTACTGGGATATCCTGGGAATTGCTGGGTTATACTGGGTTATACTGGGAAGGACTAGAAGGGACTGGGTTATACTGGTTTATACTGGGAGGGACTGGGAGCCAAACTGGGACCAACCGGGAGGGACACTGGGGATACTGGGATGGACTGGGGGTCACTGGTTTGTACTGGTTTATACTGGTTTGGGCCTTGGGGTTACTGGGAGGGACTGGACCCAAATTTGGGGATTTTGGGGCCGGAAGTTTCCAGAATTTTTTTATTTTCTCCCATTTTTTGTCGGATTTTCCCAAATTTCCCATTTTTTTACCGAATCCTGACCTTAAAAATGCCCAAATTTCCCTGAATTTCCTCCTTTTAAACCAAATTTTGCCCTAAAAAACATCAAATTTCCCCAAATTTCCCCATTTTTAACCTAATTTTGGCCTCAAAAATCCCAAATTTCCCATTTTTCCCCATTTTTTCCTGCAGTTCTGTTGGATTTTCCCCAAATTCCCATTTTTCTCCCCAAATTCCTGTTGTCTTTTCCCGAATTTTGGTGTCAAAAATCCCAAATTTTCCCATTTTTAACCAAATTTCACCCTCAAAAATCCAACATTTTCCTCAAATTTCCCATTTTAAGCCAAACTTTGATCCCAAAAATCTCAAATATTCCCCATTTTAACTAAATTTTTACCCCAAAAGTCCTAAATTTCTCATTATTCCCCCATTTCTGTCGGATTTTCCCCAATTTCCCATTTTTCTCCCCAGTTTCTCTTCGGTTTTCCCAAATTTTGATCTCAAAACTCCCAAATTTTCCACAAATTTTCCCATTTTTAACCAAATTTTGACCCCAAAAATCCCAAATTCTCCTGAATTTTTGTATTTTTGACCCCAAAAATCCCGAATTTCCCATTTTCTTCCCCGATTCCTGTGTTATTTTCCCCAATTTCCCCAATTCCCCATTTTCCTGTTTTTCCCCAATTTTCCCCAATTTCCCTTTTTTCCTGATTTTCCCCAATTTCCTGGTTTTTTCCCAAATTTCCCGTTTTTCCCCCATTTCCCCCAATTTCCTGTTTTCCCCATTTCCCCCAATTTCCTGTTTTCCCCATTTTCCCCAATTTCCTGGTTTTTCCCCTGATTTTTCCCAATTTCACCCTTTTTTCCCCAATTTCCCTTTTTCTCCTGATTTTCCCCAATTTCCCTTTTTTCCCCAATTTCCCAATTTTCACCAATTTCCTGGTTTTTCCCAATTTCCCATTTTCCCAATTTTCCCCAATTTTCCCCAATTTCCCATTTCCCCCAATTTCCCATTTTTCCCCAATTTCCCCAATTTCCCATTTTTCCCCGATTTTCCCCAATTTCCCATTTTTCCCCGATTTTCCCCAATTTCCCTTTTTTCCCCAATTTCCCCAATTCCCCATTTTCCCCAATTTTCCCCAATTTCCCCCATTTTTTCCCCGATTTTCCCCAATTTCCCGTTTTTTCCCCAATTTCCCATTTTCCCCATTTTTCCCCAATTTCCCATTTTCCCGTTTTTTCCCCATTTTCCCCAATCTCCCCCATTTTCCCATTTTTCCCCAAATTTCCCGTTTTTCCCCCCAGTTTTTCTCCATCTTCGCTTTCGCCACCTGCGGCGGCTTCGAGGGCTCCGTCACCCTCAGGGTCACCTGCCCGGGGCCCGACAATGGCACCGAGGTGACAGCCACCTTCGGGTACCCCTTCAGGTGAGTCACACACCTGGGACAGGTGAGGGACACACCTGGGCACACCTGGGACACACCTGGGACAGGTGACAGGTGAGGGGCACACCTGGGCAGGGCAGGGTCACCCTCAGGGTCACCTGCCCCGGCCCCGACAACGGGACAATGGTGACAGCCGAGTTCGGGTACCCCTTCAGGTGAGTGACAGGTGAGGGACACACCTGGGCAGGGCAGGGTCACCCTCAGGGTCACCTGCCCCGGCCCCGACAACGGCACCGAGGTGACCGCCACCTTCGGGTACCCCTTCAGGTGAGTGACACACCTGGGACAGGTGACACAGGTGAGGGACACACCTGGGCAGGTGAGGGACACACCTGAGACACATCTGGGACACGTCTGGGCAGGTGAGAAGGATGGGACACACCTGGGGCAGGTGACACAGGTGAGGGACACACCTGGGAGCCAGCTGGGACAGGACAGGTGAGCAGGGACACACCTGGATGGGTGACAGGTGAGGGACACACCTGGGCAGGTGAGGGACACACCTGAGACACACCTGGGACACACCTGGGACACACCTGGATGGGTGACAGGTGAGGGACACACCTGGGCAGGTGGGACAGGGGAGAGATGGATCCAACAGGTGAGAGAACGGGGGAACAGGTGAAGTCCCCCCCAGGTGTGCCCAGGTAAGCCCAGGTGTGACCCCAGGTGTGCCCAGGTGTGACCCCAGGTGTGCCCAGGTGTGACCCCAGGTGTGACCCCAGGTGTGCCCAGGTGTGACCCCAGGTGTGACCCCAGGTGTGCCCCCAGGTGACCCCAGGTGTGACCCAGGTGTGTCCCCCCCCAGGTTGAACCAGGCGGTGTTCCGGCCCTCGCTGACTCACCTGTGTAACCACACCTGGCCGCAGGACGTGCACCTGGTGGGCGACTTCTCCTCGGCCGCCATGTTCTTCGTGGGCGTGGCCGTGCTGGCCTTCCTCTACAGCCTGGGGGCGCTGGGCGGCTACCTGGGCTACCTGCACCTGTACAGGTGTGCGGGGTCCCGCCTGCCCCTCGCGGTGAGTCACTGCCAGGGGGTTACATGGGCTACCTGCACCTGTACAGGTGTGCGGGGTCCCGCCTGCCCCTCGCGGTGAGTCACTGCCAGGGGGTTACATGGGCTACCTGCACCTGTACAGGTGTGCGGGGTCCCGCCTGCCCCTCGCGGTGAGTCACTGCCAGGGGGTTACATGGGCTACCTGCACCTGTACAGGTGTGCGGGGTCCCGCCTGCCCCTCGCGGTGAGTCACTGCCAGGGGGTTACATGGGCTACCTGCACCTGTACAGGTGTGCGGGGTCCCGCCTGCCCCTCGCGGTGAGTCACTGCCAGGGGGTTACATGGGCTACCTGCACCTGTACAGGTGTGCGGGGTCCCGCCTGCCCCTCGCGGTGAGTCACTGCCAGGGGGTTACATGGGCTACCTGCACCTGTACAGGTGTGCGGGGTCCCGCCTGCCCCTCGCGGTGAGTCACTGCCAGGGGGTTACATGGGCTACCTGCACCTGTACAGGTGTGCGGGGTCCCGCCTGCCCCTCGCGGTGAGTGACAGGGGCTGGGGGTTACCTGTACAGGTGTGCTCGGGTGGGATTTACCTGTACAGGTGTGCGGGGTCACGGCTGAGACGGGGCTGGGGAATTTACCTGTCCAGGTGTGCACAGGTGGATTTACCTGTGGAGGTGAGCTCAGGTGAGCTGAGGTGGGGTTACCTGTGCAGGTGAGCTCAGGTGGATTTACCTGTGCAGGTGAGCTCAGGTGGGGTTACCTGTGCAGGTGATCTCAGGTGGATTTACCTGTGCAGGTGAGCTCAGGTGAGCTCAGGTGGGGTTACCTGTGCAGGTGAGCTCAGATGAGCTCAGGTGGGGTTACCTGTGCAGGTGAGCTCAGGTGAGCTCAGGTGAGGTTCACTTCCTTTTTTGGGCTTCCCCCCTTGGAATTTAATGGAATTTTGATGGAATTTGGGGAAAATTGAGAGAATTTTGATGAAATTTGCTGAATTTAAAGGGAATTTTTAGGAATTTTAGTGGAAATTTTGGGAATTTTGATGGAATTTTGGATATTTTTGATCAATTTTTGGGAAATTTTGAGGGAATTTGTGAAATTTTGCTGGAATTTCGGATATTTTTGGTGGAGTTTTGGGGAAATTTTGATGGACTTTTCAGGAATTTTGATGGAATTTGGGAAATTTCGATGGGATTTTGGACTTTTTTGATGGAGTTTTGGTGAAATGTTGATGGACTTTTCAGGAATTTTGATGGAATTTTTAGGAATTTTGACAGGATTTTTAGGAATTTCAATGGAATTTTCAGGAATTTCAATGGAATTTTTAGGAATTCAGGAGGATTTGGAGCAGAATTCCCAAATTTTGGTGCAGATTTTGCTGTTCCCGGGGAGATTTTGGGGTTCTGGGCTGGATTTTGGGGATTCTGGATGGAATTTTGGGGAATTTCGGGGGGTTTAACCCTTTGTGCTCCTTCTCTCTCTCTCTGCTGCCTCTGAAGGACCCCAGGTAAATCCCACCCCCAAAATTCCCATTTTTTCACCTAAAATTCCCAATTCTTTCGCAAAGCTTTGCTTTTCCCCTGAAAATTCCCAACTTTTACCCAGGAATTTTCATTTTTGCCACTGAAATTCTCTTTTTTTCTCCTAAAATTCCCATTTTCTCGCCCCAAAATTTCCTTTTGTCTCCAAAAAATCTCCATTTCCCCCAGAATTCTCAGTTTTGCCCTAAAATTTTCATTTTCCCCCAGAAATTCCTTCCCCCCCCACCAATTTTTGGGTCATTTTTTCCAGTTTCTGGGTCGAGCAGAATTCCCAAATTTTGGTGCAGATTTTGCTGTTCCCGGGGAGATTTTGGGGTTCTGGGCTGGATTTTGGGGATTCTGGATGGAATTTTGGGGAATTTCGGGGGGTTTAACCCTTTGTGCTCCTTCTCTCTCTCTCTGCTGCCTCTGAAGGACCCCAGGTAAATCCCACCCCCAAAATTCCCATTTTTTCACCTAAAATTCCCAATTCTTTCGCAAAGCTTTGCTTTTCCCCTGAAAATTCCCAACTTTTACCCAGGAATTTTCATTTTTGCCACTGAAATTCTCTTTTTTTCTCCTAAAATTCCCATTTTCTCGCCCCAAAATTTCCTTTTGTCTCCAAAAAATCTCCATTTCCCCCAGAATTCTCAGTTTTGCCCTAAAATTTTCATTTTCCCCCAGAAATTCCTTCCCCCCCCACCAATTTTTGGGTCATTTTTTCCAGTTTCTGGGTCATTTCTCCCCAATTTTTGGGTCATTTCCCCCCAGTTTTTGCGTCATTTCTCTTCCTTTTTTGGCTCATTTCTTCTCACTTTTTTATCAATTTTTTTGAGAATTTTCCCCATTTTTGGGTTATTTTTTGCCTGTTTTTGTGCCTTTTTCTTTTCTATTTTTGGGACTTTTGTTTCTAATTTTGGGCCATTTTTTCTCCATTTTTGAGCCATTTCCCACCATTTTTTTCTTTAGTTTTGGGTCACTTTTGTGCTATTTTTTTCCCATTTCTGTGCCCTTTTTCCCCTCATTTTTGTGCTAATTTTTCCCCCTTTTTGTGCCAATTTTTTTTCTATTTTTGACCCATTTTTTCCATTTTTGGGTCATTTTTTCCCATTTTTTTAAAGTTTCCCCCTCATTTTCCCACCTGTCTCTTCCTCTGACTGATGTCTTCTCCCTCCCATTTTAGGCCATTTTCTCACTATTTTTGGCTCGTTTTTTCCCATTTTTGGCTCATTTTTTCCCATTTTTGGCTCATTTTTTCCCATTTTTGGCTCATTTTTCCCATTTTTCCCCACTTTTAACCATTTTCTGGATTTTTTTTCCCCAGGACCTGGCAGTCTCAGCTCTCCTGGCCGTGCTCTGCCTCTGCCCCATTTCTGCCTCATTTTTCCCGATTTTTTTCCCATATTTTCCCCTTTTTTTCCCGTTTTTGTGTAATTTTTCTCCATTTTTGTGTAATTTTTCCCCATTTTTCCCCATTTTTAACCAATTTCCTGGTTTTTCCCCCCAGGACCTGTCCGTCTCAGCCCTCCTGGCCGTGCTGTGGCTCTGCTCCATTTCTGCCTCATTTTCCCCCATTTTTTTCCCTTTTTTTCCCATATTTTCCCCATTTTTCCCATTTTCCCCTGTTTTTTCCCTTTTTTTCCCATTTTTCCCCATTTTTAACCAATTTCCCGGTTTCTCCCACCAGGACCTGGCCATGTCTGCCCTCCTGGCCGTGCTCTGGCTCTGCTCCATTTCTGCCTCATTTTCCCCCATTTTTTTCCCATTTTTTTTCCCATTTTTTCCCATTTCCCCCATTTTTGTGTAATTTTTCCCCATTTTTCCCCATTTTTAACCAATTTCCTGGTTTTTCCCCCCAGGACCTGGCCGTCTCGGCCTTCCTGGCCGTGCTCTGGCTCTGCCCCATTTCTGCCTCATTTTTTCCCCATTTTTTCCCATTTTCCCCTGCTTTTTTCCCATTTTTTCCCTTTTTTCCCCATTTTTAACCAATTTCCCGGTTTCTCCCCCCAGGACCTGGCCGTCTCCGCCCCCCCATTTTTCCCCACTTTTAACCATTTTCTGGATTTTTTTTCCCCAGGACCTGGCAGTCTCAGCTCTCCTGGCCGTGCTCTGCCTCTGCCCCATTTCTGCCTCATTTTTCCCGATTTTTTTCCCATTTTTGGCTCATTTTTCCCATTTTTCCCCACTTTTAACCATTTTCTGGATTTTTTTTCCCCAGGACCTGGCAGTCTCAGCTCTCCTGGCCGTGCTCTGCCTCTGCCCCATTTCTGCCTCATTTTTCCCGATTTTTTTCCCATATTTTCCCCTTTTTTTCCCGTTTTTGTGTAATTTTTCTCCATTTTTGTGTAATTTTTCCCCATTTTTCCCCATTTTTAACCAATTTCCTGGTTTTTCCCCCCAGGACCTGTCCGTCTCAGCCCTCCTGGCCGTGCTGTGGCTCTGCTCCATTTCTGCCTCATTTTCCCCCATTTTTTTCCCTTTTTTTCCCATATTTTCCCCATTTTTCCCATTTTCCCCTGTTTTTTCCCTTTTTTTCCCATTTTTCCCCATTTTTTACCAATTTCCCCGTTTTTCCCCCATTTTTCTCTCCTTTTTCCGCATTTTTGGTTAATTTTTCCCCATTTTTGTGTAATTTTTTCTCATTTTTATGTATTTTTTCCCCATTTTCCCCATTTTTAACCAATTTCCCCGTTTTTCTCCCAGGACCTGGCCGTCTCCGCCCTCCTGGCTATGCTCTGGCTCTGCCCCATTTCTGCCTCATTTTCCCCCATTTTTTCCCCATTTTTTTCCCATTTTTTCCCATTTTCCCCATTTTTGTGTAATTTTTCACCATTTTTGTGTAATTTTTCCCCATTTTTCCCCATTTTTAACCAATTTCCCGGTTTCTCCCCCCAGGACCTGGCCGTCTCCGCCCTCCTGGCCGTGCTGTGGCTCGTGGCCTCCTCGGCCTGGGCCCAGGCCCTGCGGCACGTGCGGGCGGCGCTGGGCGCGCCCCTCCCCCACTGCCCCTCCCCCACCGTGGGCTGCGCCCCCGCCGGGGTCACCCCCATGGGGAGTCTGGGGGC